TAAAGGCTTCGATTCGTATTAATTATGTTTTTAGGAGTAGTTTAAAAAGAAATTCCTAAATTTGCTTTCTTAGCGCCCTAGACTAGAATCCTCCCTCAAAATATAAAGTCACGTCGTGATTTTCTCATATTCAACAGGTAAATCTGAAAAAACGCGCGAACACAAGCAAGAGAGATCGCGAATCTCTTGCTTGATATTATCTACACATATTGTTTATACAATGTTGATCTAAGTATGTATAGCGTGGGATTGTTGCGAGTACTCTCTTGATGGGCGTTGTGTGATGAAAGAGAATTTCAAATGTTTCAATAAATATTAGTAACTTTTGTGAGACGGTATAAAGGCAATAAAATTTACGGATTAAAAGTTTATTATAATATGACATCAGAGAGAGAGAGAGAGAGAGAGAGAGAGAGAGAGAGAGAGAGAGAGAGAAAATATATATATATATATACTGTATTTAGATCGATGTATTCTACAATCCTTAATTAACATATAGATAAATTTTTAATAAATTTTAAGCTTATTATAATTGCTTTCCATTTACTTCGATTCTCAGATAATTCTCACTTATGACGTCATTACTCAGTTGAATGTGTGTTCCTTTTGCATTTTGAGAAGTGAGATTTAACTGAGTTTTTAACCTATAATCTGCACAAGCTCGAGACCGTGTGCTTTATTGAGTCTCGTAGACTCACTTTAAAAGTGAGGTTATAAACCTGTGTTGTTATTTGTTAATTTTATCAAAATAAGCAAGTAGTGAGATCATTAATCTGAGTATTTCATACTCAGCTCATTTCAGGACTCAGTTTCATTTGTGTGTAAATGGAAAGCAACTTATATTATTATTTACGCGCTTCTGTTTGAAATACACACACACATATATTGAAATGATTATTTTTTAATTCAGCTGTTTTATTTGAGCATTATTTCGTTATTAAAATGTAATACGATTTATCGACATTGCTTTTAAAGCTTTTAAATTATTTTACAAACTCATATCTACTTTAACAACATACATTATTATATATTTAAATACCTATATAAAAAATTTATAAAAGTTTAGGACGTGATGTAAATATCTTTATGAATGTTTTGCATGTCTTTATGATGCCTTTCAAACGTTCATGTTGTTTGAATAACTGTAGAATTTCTCTAGAAGGAATTAAAACCGGTATAATTTAGGTCAAATTTTATTGCTCTGCGGACACATAAAAATATTCTAAATGACATGTTTGAAAGTAATCTAATTTGCTCGTTTTTTGCATTTCTAATAATTTATATACAATTACTGAAAATGGAAAGTATCTTGAAAAAATAATCCAAACAACTTAGTTGTTTCTCATGTACAAAATAATCATATGTTTTAAAGATAAGAAATGAATACCTGGGTATTTTATTTATATTAAAATTGTGTACAAATTTTTACCAAAATTTTTATTTTTTCTATTTTTCGAAAGTATTTTTAGTTTATGGTAGATCATTTTGACCAGTGCCGGCTTTAGGCCATGTGCGACGGTGCAGCGCACGCGGCTCTGCGTTTTGATCAGCCCCGCGTTTTACTTATTGTAACGACATAACGAGATAGAAAATAGTTGGACCTCTCACTTCCACATGTGCGGATAAAATTAAATCTGTTTTTTATTCTTGCACCGTGTGCACCAGTTTAGACAGTGCAGGAATAAAGAAAAGACCTATTCTTATATAGTAAAATTTGTAATAAAAGATTTTATTACAAATTTCATTATAAAACATTAAACTTTTAAGTTTATTTTATTTTATGTCATTTTATATTTATTTTACATATTTGAAATAAAATAATTATGATTTGAAATAAATTATTTCATTTTCGAGAATCAGTCCCGCATTTTTATGCACCCAGCCCCGCATTAATTAGAGCCGGCACTGACTTTGACAGACTACAATTAATCGTTTATTATATACATATCGCAGTTAATATTATACATAATAACAATTAATTTTCTTTTAATTTCGCGAATTACTATACATTGCTTTTCTTATATACAGATACCGCACAAGTCTTCGATAAACTCGTTGAAATCGTTCTGATTTCAATCGTTGTCCCGGAATATTTCGTTGAACCTTGCCGAAGTGTCACATGATTCCTGCGATCAGGATCAGTGGGAAGACTTTAATCTGTATTTCTGCAGATACACCACTCGTGTTCCTACACAATTGTTCCTACATGATGTTCGGCCTTATTTCACGCACGATCGGTGAAAGCAATAACGGATAATTCGCGAATGGCTCGAAAGTGCTCGTTGCGTGTAACTATACGAGACACAGAGACGGGCTTTCGGCGTGCCGTCAAAGTCAGCCTTCGTGGGCGATATGCGCGTGCGAAGCGGGCCAACGAGATGCATACTTATCCATGCATAGATATACACCATACGCATTCGATTAATTAATCGCTTGGACGGCTAGAGGGGAACAATATCCGTCTCATAATACTATCTCTCGCTTTCGCAATGCCATTTTTGATCGGATTACGTGGCTTGTTACGGATCTTCGTAATATCTTGCTGAAGTTAGATTAATTATAATGATATCCGCAATAATACAATCATAACTTTATAAGATCTTCTTATTTCATGAAATTATAAAAAATCGAACATTATCATCAGAAAGATTTTAATTCCGGAGAGGCTATAGCTTTTACAAAACGCAATCTAAAATAATACAACTTGATTTAATGAGATCTTTTATTTACTTTCTATGTAAAACGATATTGTGAGAGTTAAGTGATGTAAAAACATTGTCCGAAATGGCACAATTTTAAAACATTTCAATTTAATTTACAATACGTACATCTCAAAAACTTAAATTTATCTTTTGTATATTATTTTATTATGTTAGAATCAATCATATATTATTATTAGTTTTGTTCGTGTGTCAAAAAAATTACTGTTTTTACAATACAAGTGCATGCTCCTTTTGAAAAAAAGAAAAATCATAGAGAAATACTTTTAATTTTGAATTGTCTGAATTTCTATTGATGTCGGACCACAATGTCCATCGTAAATTATAAATATATATATATATATATATATTCGAAGATCGCTGTATCTTTTCTATGTAAGTCAGGAAAAGTCTGGCCGGGTGTCAGAAATGCATATTAAGAACTTTTCATCGGCTATGCGAGCCGAGCACTATTTCTTCGCATAAACGAAAGTCCCAATTGCGTGTCAATTTCTCCGTGTGGCAGCGTTTTCTCTTGCGGTGTTTACGCGTTCTCCCCACGTTCGCGAGTGTGTGCACGCATGCTTTAATGCGAAACGTAGAGAAGAACCAGACGTACGTGTTTGGGACGCGCTTGCATTTAATTCACCATCTCGTAGACGCATGTGCATTTAGCGATCGCGGTGAAAACGCGACAGCACGCGCGAATGCTAATTGAGAGGTGACATCCAAAGACGAAATCTTTTTGCGGCTTGCGGCGCAGACCTAAATGTGGCAGGACGCATCTACTAGAGCTGTCTCTTCATTCAATCGGATTCTATTGAAAGCAGAAAAAACAGTGGGACGAAGCGACCTCGTTTCTTTCTCTTTTAGTATTGAAAAACGCCAATATACTATATATAAGAGATTAAATATCTTTAACTAAAGAACGGTTTTAGATACCTATGCAATATACATATATATAGTATAAATATTATTTTTAAATATATTCTTTAATTTATACAGAATATATTAAAAGTCAATATTATATTTGTTAAATAAATCTACTAATATACTTAATTTTTAAGTTCAATTATTATTGACAGTTGATGTATTGTGGATTCAGCAGTCATCTGGTTTATTTGTATTTATTTCGTGTAAACGTTTTAAAAATAATAATAATAATTTATTGATATAAAAATCTAATTAGTCAACTTTCCCCATATTTTTTTTTTTTTTTTTAAAAAGAAAAATACATTAAAAAATTGTCTTATTGTTAAATGGAGTATATGTATATTTCCGAGCTTATTATTATGTTTTTATCTTTTAGGAATTGCCGAACACAGGATTGTCTGTTATTACACTAATTGGTCAGTATATCGACCTGGCACGGCGAAATTCTCTCCTCAAAACATAAATCCATATCTTTGCACTCACTTAATCTACGCATTTGGAGGTTTTACAAAGGAAAACACGCTGAAACCGTTCGACAAGTATCAAGATATCGAGAAAGGTATAAAAACATATAACATTTATCTCAAGATTTGTTGAATTTTATTAACAATTTATTGAAGAATACAGCAGTGGTTATAATTCAACGTTGCTATTTTTTAATGATTATACCTATATATATAATTACCTCTCTGGCGAAAAGTTTTAGTAAGACATTGTGTTTATATCTGTTTAGATAGCGTTTTATCGCTAGTTATATTGTTTATGAAGAGTTTTATTGATATTTTGAAGTACTGTTTTCAAAACGTAATTTTTCAAAACATAATCGTGAACATCTCTTAAACAATTACATGTTTAAATTTCCATTTCATAAACAACTCATAAATATTTTAAAACTCAACTCAACATTTAAGCAAGCTTTTTATAAACTTTTAATAAACATATTATTTTCGCCAGGGTTATTTATTTATCGAAGATATACTATCAATAGCGATTAAAATGATCGACTTTAACAAATTAACTGTTGATTACCATATATGGCTCCATCATAAATTTATTAATAATGTGATGATTTATGACTCAATTATATCAAGAAAAGAATAAACATTAAATGTCTCACAAGGGTTAAAAATGTTACTTTTGGTTAAAAAAAAACTACTTCTAATTTTACGTGTGTTATATCAAAATATAAGCAACATTGCTTATGTTTAGTTAGAATGCTCTGTTTACGAAGTTGTTTATTGCACTGCATTGACAAACTTTGAACGCATCATTTTTGATGACTTAGCCGATATTTAACTTTCACTCTTCAATGAACATGTTCACTTGACAGGCGGATATGCAAAATTTACGGGTTTGAAGACCTATAATAAGAACTTGAAGACGATGTTGGCGATTGGCGGTTGGAATGAGGGCTCTAGTAGATTTTCACCGATGGTAGCCGATCCTGCGAGACGGCGGGAATTCGTCAAGAACGCCGTTAAATTCCTTAGGCAGAATCATTTCGACGGCCTCGATCTCGACTGGGAATATCCAGCGTTTAGAGATGGCGGAAAACCGCGAGATAAGGACAATTACGCTGACTTGGTGCAGGTAGATATATTAATCGTTTTTTTATCGTCGTGAAAAAGGATATAAAATGTCTTACAGAAATCTCTCAGTGAATAAAGAAAGGAGTGTTAAAGGTTTACAGATAATGACGTGATAAATAAAAAGAAATGATAAAAAATCGATTGCAATCTTGGTTTAATTAAAGAAAGAGTGAATTGTGGAAAGTTAATTAAAATAATTAATTGCGAATTGTGTGTATGATAGGAACTTCGTAAGGAGTTTGAGAGAGAATCCTCGAAGACCGGAAGAACGAGATTGTTGCTGTCGATGGCGATGCCAGCCGGTGTCGAATATATTGACAAAGGTTACGATGTACCCAGACTAAACGAATACTTGGATTTCATTAATCTACTCTCTTACGATTATCACTCGGCGTATGAGCCCGCTGTCAATCATCATTCGCCATTGTATCCCCTAGAAGAGGACAACGAATACAATTACGACGCTGAATTGACTATTGTAAAAATTTGCTCATTAAGATCCTATAGCTACAATTTGAATCATAGATTAATTAGTAACGCACCTTCATTTATGTCTAACAGGATTACACGATAACTCATCTTCTGGAGAAAGGCGCGTCCGCAGATAAGGTCGTTCTTGGAATACCAACATACGGTCGGTCGTATACGTTGTTCAATCAAGATGCAACTGAACTCGGGTCGCCAGCGGATGGTCCTGGCACCGAAGGAGAGGCCACTCGAGAAAAAGGTTATCTTGCCTATTATGAGGTAAATTTTATTGTACATATATACATACATATTACATTCATACGTACATACATATATACATATTATATATACGTACGAAACTTTTTCTACATTGTACAATTATATAATACGATATTGACACAACCTAGGTAGCATAGAGAGTCTAAAAACAATTTTCTAATTCTCGGCTTACAAAATGAATTTTTATTTCGTTCCATTTCTATTTTTAAAGTATTCTTGAGTTTCAAAAAATTTTGTCTTTATGTGTGTTACCAATAATGATTTAATTAATTTTACACAGATTCAAAAGGTTTTTTTTCTAGTCTTTATTTCTTAATTCTGTTTAAGAAGTGCGATATGTATTTTGCGCGCGCGCGTCGCAGGATGAACGAAATAACAGGGGTTGCGGATAGTCCAGTCAAATTATGATTTTACCGGGAAAAAATTCCTATACGCAATTTTTTTTATCGTGTAGGGGGGGTATAGAAAAGCTTAACTGTAGGTTTTCGGGACAAAATAGCTGGTGCTTTTTGAAAAAAGTCAAAAAAACAAAAAAAAACGGTTTTTTTTAATAACTCGGCTTCTAGTGAAGTAAAATCAATGAATAATAGCTCATTTTGTAGGTTTTTTCATGCTCTACAAGTTACTTATATGTTCTTTATTGATTGATAATGTTACTATATAAAATTGACTTAAAGACCGAATTCCCGACCCGGGTCAGGTGCCTATTCGCGCTTTGTGACGGCGAAGGGTCGCTACAACGCCATAACGAAGCTGCAACGTCACAAAAAAAAAGTCATATTTTTTTATATACAAATTAAATATTATTTTTAAGCAATGACAAGAAAGAAGGAAGCACAAAGCAAAGCCTATCACGGTCAAAGCTAGATCAAGATGCTTATTATCATTATGTGTGAATTTATATGTCGCGTATGTAGTTCTCTCAATCGCGTGCCGAACATTTTTTTTCCAGACTTACAACGCAACTCTAAATAACTACCGCGGTAATATCACTTTTAGTTAGATTGACAATCAATCTAACAAATTTCAATGCTTATAGCATCTTATTAGATCTTAATAATATGTCTATTATTTTTAAGGTTAATTATTAGGTGCTTGAATTAATTTTCGCTGTTGACCGGGAGAGGTTAATATTTGTGCTGTTTCAACATGGTCGAAAGTGACTGCTTATATGTATACAAAAGTACTATCAGTAGGCTAAAATAATCAGTATATATTTAGAATTAAAAATTGAACATTTGATTTTTAAGATTTGCGAGAGTATAGCAGTTTCTGATGAGTGGGAAGTCGTTCAATCAAATCCAAAAGCCATGGGACCGTACGCCTTCAAAGGTAATCAGTGGGTAGGGTATGATGACGAAGACATAGTCAAACTGAAAGCTCGCTATGTGAATGAAAAAAAATTGGGAGGCATTATGTTCTGGTCGATAGACAATGACGATTTTCGTGGCAAATGCCACGGTCGACCTTATCCATTGATCGAAGCCGCCAAAGAAGTGCTGCTTATGGATAATAGGTAACCATATACATATACATATAACCACACGGAGAAAAATGTTCTGAGTAATTTTTACTTTAGAAGACTAGTAACAATATTCTGGCTATTTTTATCAAACTTATGACAAACTGTACTTGCCTAAAAGTAATAATACCGGAGATGTAAGGTAGAAAGTACATTATAATTTATAATATAAGTTCATTCGGCAATTTTTATATTAAGAAATAGTACAAATTGTCTTTCTACAGCGTCCCAATCATCATTCTCATTGTGTTGCGTGATTCGAGGCAGGGCACATATTTAGCTATTTCTAAAAGAGTTGTACATGTTATTTCTTTTTGCAGTTACACAATTAAAACCTTTATATAAACTATACAACTTTCTGTGTACGTGCGCGCGCGCGCGCACGTATATATGTATGTGTGTGTATGCAACGTATGCCAGACTTTACGTGACATCCGTTAATAGCAGATTCCTAAGGTCATTTCGAGATAACAATATCAAAATAATAATACCAAAATGTTGAGGTTACAGTATAGTTTTTAAATAAAAAGCGTTTAAAGTTACATAGTCGATTGAACTGTTTGAAATTCGCGCATTCTTAGACCTGGCACATCGTACAGTATAGTGAAGATGTTTAGAAGAATATAAGAAAATAAAATTGATACTTGAAAACATCTTTACTATTATTTAATGATCATATATCTGAGCGCGCGTGAATTTTAGACAGTTCAATTGATTAACTTTATACTCTTTATTATAACTCGACGTTTTGGTGTTAGGATTTTTGTCTACAAAATGATCACAGGAATCTGCTATTAATGAGTGTCACGCGAAGTCTGAAGCACTGTGTGTATGTGTGTGTGTGTGTGTGTGTGTGTGTGTGTGTGTGTGTGAACGTGCGCGCACGCGCGCGAATTTATTTTACAGGACGTAATTTTTTTTCAATATACGCTTAAAATTTACTTTACAGAACGTAAATTTCTTCGATACGGTAGCTTAAAATTTACTTTACAGAATGTAAATTTCTTCAATATAATAACTTAAAATTTACTTTACAAAATGTAAAAAATACCTTACAGTATGGTTATACGACGATCGCTCGTTTACCAGTAAAGAGCATTTTACATATAGTAAGTATGGGCGCCTGTCTCTATAAGGACCTGCCAATTCCATACAATTTACTAGAATTCTAGGATATATGATATATTACTTTATATTTTTCTCCGTTCTAATATATAACAAATATTAGCAACAAATGTCAAATTTTCAGAAATAGAACTCTATTTTATAATTTTATTATATTATGATACAATAATGTCAATAATGATAATATTAATAATTATCTGGAGATTCGGAAGTTTCTCGGATTATTATGCTCAATACTTTAACGCGTTATTGTAGTTTTTAATATCTAGACAAAACGTAAAAACTAAAATTAATAAATAATAATTGATAAAACATTAATATTTTTTTAATGCAATTTAAAATATTATTTCCGGTGTTTGATATTTTTTATTTCTATTTATAATTTAGTATAAATAAGTTGTTATTATAATATAGCAGAAATACAATTGACAAGACGAAGTCAGTAGACAGTCGGAAAAAGATCCGAACTCAAAATACGCAAAGCAGCAGTCGTAAATCAAGTACAAGCAACAGAAGAAGTAGCACTACATCTACTCCGATTGTCAGTAAACGTGTATCCTCTTCAAGACCAAAATACCGTACCATTTCGCAAGTGAGCAAGGAGGAACAGGAAGATCGAGAAGTATCGAGGAGATCATATGACCCATCATCAGACGAAGACACAGAGGGACACAGAAACACCGTAAGAGTCACAGAGAAAACCGAACGATCGAAAAGTCAAAACAGAAGTAAAACAACTGCTGCCAATCGTAGCAATCATAGAAAGCACTTCAGTCGTAAGGAGCAAAGCAAGACTGGCGAGAATGAAGAATCCTTAAGTAACAAACTAACCACTCCCGAACCACCAACTACACCCGATCCAGGAACCGGTAAGTTTTTCCGTGAAAATTATGGGATAAATATCTTTGAAGAGTTTTTAATCCTAATTGACGCTTCATCTTGACGTTTGGAAATATCTTAATTTAATATATAAAAATATTTAGGACAAAGTTATCTTTATTACGTAAAATTATTGTTTGTCTGCGTTTTGTAGATTTTAAATGCGAGGACGAAGGCTTCTTTCCGCATCCTCGAGATTGTAAGAAATATTTTTGGTGTCTTGATAGTGGTCCCAGTGGACTTGGTGTAGTTGCGCATCAATTCACTTGTCCTTCAGGTAATTTCATTTTACTGTAAATAATTTTTATTGTGCAACACTTAATGCTTAAATTTTTTTTATTTAACTTTGTGAGAGAAAAGGGAGATATAACATATATGAAATCGGTAAATACATATGCACATCAATTAGAAATTTAAATAACACGAATAAAGAATTAATTAAAAAATTTGAATTTTTTATTATTATCCAGTAAACATCAACTAATAGAGTGCATTCGGAGAGATGTAGTATTAGCGCTATTGGTGTCATTCTATCTTCGTCGTTCATTAGACGTAAAATAAGAATATAGAATGAATAATAATCAATAACATTTAACAGGACGCGAAGTAAGAGTTAAATTACAATTAAAAATATAAATTTCTCTGCAGAGCCGGTTTCAGCATCCTTGGCGCCCTACGCAAGATTTAAAAAAGCGCCCCTCCCTCTTATTTTCTCACATTCATATATAATAATACATAATAATAACAAAATTTCGAAATTATTCTGTATTTTTATTCAAACTAAGAAAATATGAGCTTTAAATGAAATTTAAAAAATTAACATATATTATATGATATATTTCACATACTTTATCATATGCGCAAATGTAAATTGAACAATATAATTTTTATATTAATAACTAAAATAACTTAAATACTAAAAAAGATACAAAAAAAAATTTTATCACGGATTGATATAATATTACGTGTAGGTATAGATTCAGGTTTGACTTGTTTGAACATATTTTTTAATCACCAAACAGGGACACGTCTTATTAAGGGCTTATGGCTCGCGTGGTTTGGCTCACCGGTCAGTTACTCATAGCCATGTAAACAAAGAAGCAGCGAAATCGCGATGGCGCGAAAGGTGAGCATTTGCGGCTAGTGAAAGGGGACGTCTCACCCGAAACAATTGAAAGATCACCAAATTACGAACAGCGAAAAGTCGCCCTCATGCCTCTCGCCGCTATGCTCGTCGTTCGCGACTTCAATGCTCTTTCTTTGTTTACTTTGCTATGTGTAACTGCCAGCGGTGCATCCTATAGATACATCTAGACTGCGTTTGATTTGGCGCTCACGACGCTTGTGAGCATCAATTGTTTAATATTTAATAAACAACAAAGATGAAACGACGCTTAAAGCATTGTGAGCGCCAAAGCAAATACAGCCATAGTCAGGGCGAAAAGAAGCGCGACAAAAAGGAAAAACACAAGAGTGAGTTCTTATTTTATATTGACTCAACGCTTGCAAAATTTATTTTTCTAAATATTTTTAAATAATTATTTTAAACATTCAAATATTTTGGCGCTGAAATTTAAGGCGCCCCCGTTTTATGACGCCCCGATGCGCCGCTTACCGTGCTTACTGTCTAAAACCGGCCTTGTTTCTCTGATAATTTATTCTAATACTATATATTGCGAAGAATATCACGTAATTTTTGGCGTTTCGTCCCGGCTTCCACTACCTGGACTCATCAGTAAGGCATTGTAGTGGAAGCCTATCTTATACGCCTGAGATAGTTGTTTGATCGAGATTCTATATAAAGAGATATACGCGTGTCTTAGCACTTACGAGAATTTGCGAATATCGATAGACCTCTGATGGCGAGTCGACGTAGTAATATTCTTCGCTATATTTATTCAAAATAAGAAATAACGTTCCATGAATAATGATAATAGCGTCTCCCTGAACGCATCCATAGTAACATAACATCGGTATTATAATATATAATTTTTCACTTTGAATAGTTAAATTATTTTCATTTGCTAGATCTGCGATTAGAACAAAAATCTTTGATTTGTTCGTTATGTAATAGTACCTTTTGGGTTTTTCACAGGATTGGTATTTAACAAAGGGGCGGATTCTTGTGATTATCCGCGTAACGTAATTTGTCCTAAGACGTCGAAAGCATCAATTGTTTCGACCACCAGATCGCCCATTACGGCCGCGACAAGTCGAACAACTTACTTGCACAGCACAACAATTGCAAAAGTGGAATCGGAAGAGTATGATTCGGAAGAGGATGACGATTCGAAAGAGTATGACGAGATCGAAGAAAACGAAGAAGTGAAAGAAGAAAAGGAGGAGGAGAAGGAAGAACTGATAACTACCACCACAACGAGATCACTCGTATACAAGACACTCACCAGGAATAGACCAAGTACGACCACCTCTACCACAACCACTTCGAAACCAAGTGAACCAGAGAGAGCTGACAGCGAAGACGAAGAAGATCCAAAAGTTATTAAAGAACTCATCGATCTTATCAAAAAAGCTGGCAAGTATAAGTTTGTTAAATATACGAGATATATAACTACAATATACTTTTTGATGATTTTTTAATATTAATACTCCCTTTGCAATTAAAGTAATAAAGCCAGCAGCACTCCAGTATAATTGTAGTATTTTTTTCTTTTATGTATTATCTTTTATGATATTTATTATAGTATAATATTTTTTATGACATCGATATGATACATTTTCTGCTAGAAAATTTTCTATACTATATAATATATAAAATAAATAATTAAAAAATTCTTTTATTTTAGGCGGAATAGAAGAGTTAGAAAAGCAATTGCTATTTCAAGAGAAAAATGTGGATACCAAATCAGGTAGTGAAAGTGTTACACCGGCTACGATTAGTCGTAGTTTATATGAGCGTGTATTGAATCGCCAAACTAATAGAATCAGTAATCATCGATCCGTATTATCGTCCTCGGAAATTAGTTACGTAAATGGGCCGGGAAGAGCACAGTTCGAAGGTTTGGATGATATCCCTGAAGTGAAGAATCTCAGACGATCACAGAAACCTCAATACGTCACCATCGAAAGATCCAAGTCAGTCACGTGTTTGATTATTATTATTATTAAACGTGTATAATATCACACTTTCTTTATCAGGAGACGCGGTAGTGTCTCCGGCAATATTCAAAAACTGAAAGACACTACAAGTCTCTTATATCCTGAGCCACCAAAGTCCATTTTTGGGGAGCGTATAACTACTAAAATAAAAAACTTTGAATCGACGTTATATGTCCTGAAAGGCGGCATTGCCACAAGTAATTTAAGCCAAAAAAATTAAAAATCAGTCAAGCCGTTCTGGAGATACAAGCGGTCGAAAAGTGGTGATTTTAATGAAAAATTAAGAAACGTCTCCTCCTCCTTCTTCTTCTTCTCTATCCGCATTCAAGGCCATTCAAACTTTCTAATATCCCTTTTCCTAATAGAACTTTTCATTTTTATGATATAATTTTCGGATATTGAATATATTTATTAAGTTCAATTATAATATAATTTCCATCGTGACTAATAAATTCTTTCTGTCTGTTAATCATAATTTTAAAGAGAAGCCAAAGATTAAACTGATCTGAGTCCAATGTTGATAGAACTAAATAAATAAAATAACAATGGGCATATAGAAGTCAATTGTTTTACGGAAATTATTGCGCAAAAAATTATTCGCTATAATTAGAGATTTTATTATCACTAGTAAATAAATCTTATTAATTTGTAATTATATACCAAATAATTTTCTGCGTAACATTTTCCGCAGTATTTGACTCGATCCTATATGTCCATTATTATTTTATTTATCTAGTTTTATCATGAATCTGTTTCTATTTTTAAATTTAGTTGTTGATGAAACAAATTTTATAAATTGTAAAGGTTTGTTCGTGTACCTTTTAGTTATGATTCTGATATTGATTAGATCAATCAAAAAAGAATCTTCCTCGGAGAACGAAGATATCAATGAGGACGAGGAAGACAACACTGATGTAGCTTCTTCTGAGGGGAAAAGCATCAGTAACCCGTTGGAAAATAGCTCATCCACGCAACGAGTGACGCCAAGTTACGTAAATATTCGACGAACGCGACCTTCCACCACGACGTTTAAGTAAGATAACAAAATAAACGATTTATCTTGTATATTGTAAAAATATGGTATAGTATCTTTCACAATATAAAATTTTCAGAATCGAAAATGACGTGGAAGGGAAGGAAATAGAAATCGAAGAGGAAAGACCGATTCGTAGACGACGACCGATCGTTTTTTCAAAGTAAATATATTTTCAATAATACAATTATTTGCGCTGTATTAGAAACTTATTAAAAATTATTAATATTATGTAATTATTATTTTTAGACAACAAGACAATGAAGCAAGCTCTGAAACATCTAAATCTTATCGAAATCGTGATTCAGGCTTCAGGTACAAGAGAAAAATATATGATATTAATATTATTATATAATATTTAAATATGTATTGTACTACTGTACATTCATAACTTTTATAAGATTCTTATTTTTTATAATAACTGCAGAAAATCAGAAAAAAAAGAAGATTCGAGAAGCACGAATCCATCAGCAGAGAAAGACAATGATTCATCAACAACAAAAACTAGGTTTTTATACATAATTATTTGCTATAATATTTTTATATCGCTAGGGACTTTACATTCTTATTTAATTTTTCAGATACTCCAATACACAAAGATTCAGAAGTACCACTTTGAAAACTTTGGAGGGTTTGTCTAGCATAGTACCTTTATCGGAGACTAACAAAATGACTTCACCGACGAAACTGGAAGAGTATCCAGAAGTATCCAGGACAACAGTCAGTACGACCGCTTCATTGTCTACGACGCCTGCAGCAACTACTTCGACCTCTACCGAGGTTATCACCATAATTAATGTCGAACCGACAGAAAATCCATCTAATGTTAGTTCTAGAGTAGATATTGACTCTATCACTGATTCAGTGAAACTAGTGGAAGATTCGGCGACGGAGATCTTATTTACAACATTGCCGGCAATTAGCAGTAGTTCAAGTCAGTCGATGACAACAACAGCGACGTTAGCAAGCAGATCAACTGTCGCCGCAGTGTCGCAACCGCGACCATTCAGTTTTACCAGACGAAGATCTGGTTCATTAGAAGCGACGACGACGGCTACGACCCCATTGAGCAGGTCCAAGGTGAGTATTACTCCGCGAAATCCTACGCGTCCGTCCAATCCGGTTCTGGGGCGAGTTCAATTAAGGACGAAATCGGCCAACGAAGTTACCGAGGAGGAGTTAGTGGATCAAGTGGACACTTCACGTGCGGAGACCTCCACATCCAGAAGCAAGGACCTTAACAGATCACGTGGCAGGGGATCTAGCAGATATATTCCACCAACGTCGAAATCAAAGACGCAAGATGTTTCCGCGAATTCCGTTTCAGGCCTGAAGTATAAAGAAAGAGGCAGAACAACAGCTTCAACTACTATTGGTACAATTATTATCGATGATGTTAAAAGAAGATACCGAAGACCTAGCAGAGTCAACAACCTAGAATCTATCAAAGCCAACGAATTGGATGATAGCCCGATAGTAAGAATAATACAAGGTAGTGCTAGAAAAAATTCCTTGTATCGATCGCGATCTGATGAAGAAAATAATAAAATCACGAACATCAGGGTCTTTAGAAAGCCAACTGTTAATCGTGAGCTGTACGACAGGACGAAGCACACGAGAAAGAGGAACAACGCGGAAAAGTCGTCGCAAAAAGTAAACAATGAGTCGAATCAAAAACACATCTCATCGATGATATTGAAAGCTCTCAAAACAGATACTTCTACAGAAATTGACAGGATTGAGGGAAATGATTTGTTGAACAGTATTGATCAATCAACTGCAAAAATTGATTCCGTAGTTGAGTCCAATACTATCCAGCCAATGTATGATTTGAAACCAATTGCGCTAATTGATATAACAACTATACCTAACAACAAAACAAATGCAAGCAACCAATCTGAAGATACTGTCGCCACAACGATCACTCACATCGAAGCTCATGAATTTAATCCCGACCTGGTGACGATCGTTTCTACCGAACGTGCCTTTGATGGTACAGAAAAGACATCAGAAACGCCAAAAAAACGAAAGATTTTCCTAAGAAAGAGACCGATATCATCGAGTACAGTCAATATCATTGAAACAGAAGAAGAGACAACATCTCAAGGGCCTCGCAGACGAAAAGTGATAAAACGTAAACGTCCGCTTCAAAATACTTCAACATCAGTTGAAATTTTCCAAGAAAAAGGAGAAGATTCGAGTCTTTTTTTTAAATCGACGATTCCGATGGAAAATGATAAAAATGTTGAAAAATCGACAGTTTCTATTAACCAGACAGAAGTTATTCGAATAAGCCAAAATACTGAGGAATCAACGATTGTTTCTGGTTTAACTGGAGTTATGAGAAAAATGGAAGATTCGACTCTAACTATCACAGAACCCACCTTGTCCGATTACAATACTGATGCTTTTATGAAGGTTACTTTGGAGACTCCTGCGATTGAAACCACGACGATATCAAGCGAAGATGTTACAGATATTTCCAGCACAGCTGATCACAGCACAGCTATATCAACGATGAACACAGATGCTGACAAGGTTCATCAGTCAATGATTGAAATGGATACTGAAGCTACTACAATTGAACCAACGTTGGCGACAGCCACTACTTATAACACTGAAAGTATGCTTTTAGAAGATATATCGATGCCATCTATTGAAGCTAAGAATTTATCCATTACTCGAGTGCAAATGACCCCGTTGTCCTCATTGGATTTAGATACAGCTACCACTCGTACACAAGCAACTACTACACCATTTACGACGGAATCAGATTCATTATCAGCTGCAAGATCGAGTTTCGATTCGAGATATGAGCGTAAGAAGTTCATTCGCAAGAATCCTGTATCATCTTCAGAGAACACGACCAACCAATATACTCCTATGCTCTCATCAACGGAAAACAGCAGCATTGATTTTCTCTCAAAACGCAAAAATGATTTATTTATTGGACGTTATCCAGTTTCTTCTAGTACTGTTAATATACTTTATGATAATCTTAAATATAAAGAGGAGAAAGAAGGAGAAGAAGAAGAGAACACAAGTCGATCTCGTGATTTGACTAGACAAGACACTGTAGAAGGTACGATCCTGCGAAACAAGTTGATTTCGACAAATGGTTTTTCAGATGATGCGGAATTCTGGAAACATTATACTACAACTTCGTTAAGAGGTCAATTAAACTATCCTTCAGTTTATATTGAGGATGTTGAAGACCATAAAATTGCGAAAACAGAGTTCACAGAAAATAATACATATCGATTAACACCGATTGTCACTCGCAGGCCTGAGATTCGGCCACGATACAAGATTCCAATAATTTTGAAGAGGCCTTTCGATCCCGAAGAAGCTTTATCGCCGAAGCGATATCCTCCATTAGATTCAGCGCCAGAAGAATCCGAGGAGACACCAGAAACGAGAGAAGCCAGGTTACGACAAATTGGCTTCCGGCAGCCACGAATGCGTTATAAGATTCTAAATCGAAACAACGTTGAAGAGAAAACTACGCAGCCAACTCCGGAATCTACGAGCACTTGGCAATATTTCAAAACACGTACGTATCCAAAACGTACGTCAATCAGTACGGAAGCGGCAGTCACGGAAACCCTGATACCAATGAAAAAATTTGATTACGTTGCGGACGCTTTCCATCGGAAACAGCAATCGCTGAGAACAACGACGTCAAGGAGTAATGACTTTTTTGACTCACAAAATTTAATTGATCCATATTATATGCGTACCACGACAGTAAAGCCATCTGTAACTAGATTGGTGACTTCGGTAACAGAATCCGGCACCACGGAGCGGCAGAAGATCCTTATCAAGACCAAGTATTCGTCACTGACATCGACCACGAGGATACCAGCGGATCAGTTCCCTCCAATGACTCCGTTGTCAATTTTGGTGACTGGAATCAACGATGACTCTGCCAACGAAGTTCGTCACGGTGTTGAACGGTCCACCTTGCCTATCGAGAGCGAGTTCAATTACCGTTACGATGATCGATTCACTACAGAGTCTTACGAGTCTTCGACTATTGAGATTGAGTCAGTATTCAGCAATCTGATTGCCAGTAAGGGCTCCGCGAAGTAATAGTATATGAATGTCATCACTAATCATCAATGTAGTCAACGATAATACATAGATTCACCATTAAGTAACTAAGAAACCAATTGCGATCGCCGAGTTATCCGAAGAAACGTTAAAGTGTTAATAGACATCTAAATGTCACTAATGTATAATATGTAACACTCTTAACAAGCTTAATTATATTATATTTAAGATTGTTCTATGAGATGGATGTTAAACAAATGCGACTATGTGAATCAAAAGGAATGACAAGGACTCGCTATAGCTCACGACGACCGACGACCAAATAATCGTTTTCACGCATCACTCTCACATCATCAATAATGACTGAATCATAACGAGTACCTTTTTTATCCACTTACTCAGAGGGGAACCTTGACTGAAACCTCTGATAACTTCCTTGATGATGTACTTCTACTTACTAAATACAGTTATTATTAAACACTATCGATGTCCTAGGATGATTCCTTAATAGATCCAAATTAACGTAGCAAGCAAGACACGTTCACGGCGCTTCAATATAATAATTAAAGAGTTCCTCTCTTCATGTTCCCTCATTTCTCCTCCAAGACTGGCGCAGCTCACGCACAGACAGAAAGACAGAAAGAAGAAGACTGCAAAGAAATAAACTGGAGAGAGAGGACAAGAAAAAACAGAGAGGTCTCTGCGAACCTCCGTATTAAAGCGCGCTGCATTATTCTGATTTTCAGGTCGCCGATTCGAAAGCTAATAGGCTGCCGACCCTGAAGGAGCTGATTGGCTATCCGACGACTTACTATGACGATCGTACTGTTACGACGTCGTCATCCGTACTCTTGCACTTGCTGCGTAACAATGTGGACAACGATATTAGCAAGCAGAACGTCAAAAAGTCATTGAGAGGAATAGACGAGTTACAAGACGGCGAAAAAGAGAACGCCCAATCATCGAGAGACATAATTGAAGAAACCGACAATTCGTGGCTACAGCAAGCCTCGGAAAACAAAGTGAGATCTCACATTTCAAGAAAGAACGATGTTACGAACGTTAATGAACGAGATTCAGTCACCAACACTATTCAAAGAGGCGAGATTAAACGAGAGACGCCTACTAATTCGATTTATTTGAAACCAACGACAGTGCTCGGCGTTTCTCTCCTTAGTCTAATTTCTAGCCCGATATTGCGTGGGTTTTACATCACCAAGAACGAGAATGTATCATCACCGATATTAGATAGTTCTACGCCATTTTATACAATGACTGATATTCCTGTTGAACAGCAGATGAAAACTATTTTAATTCCCGACGTTCCTATGACTGATGAGACTGTTACTGTTGCTTATGATGATCAGATTGAATCGATACCTAATATTCTCGATGACAATATAAATAATATCATTAATAATAAAGATTCTCGTGAAGAGAAATATTCCATGCCCAATTTTTCAATGACTTTCTCGAGCGCTGCGATTTCAAATCATGAAAATCCTTATGTCGCATCTTCGACAACGCCGACAAGACAAAAAATCGTCCTTGCTGTTAATAAATACAACGAAACCACCACGCCGTTGTGGACAGACAGACGTATAGTGGCAAAAAAAAAAAATAGGACCACTTCATCAATCAAGAATGCTGTAAGACTAACGGAGAGTAATTCTATTTATGCCGTGACAAACACTTTAAGAAACGCTTCTCTAACTACTAAAGCTTCGACTTTGATTTTAAAAAGACTTCCTACGACTTCAACAATATCGACGACTTCTCTAAAGTTGCCCAATAATTTCACGGTATCTCCCGAAATTTCAAGCGTTTACAATAATTTTGCGAATTCTAATACCAAAATTGAAGACTCAGAAAGCAATGTAACTGAAACAGTGCCTTTGGCAAATTCAATAATCGCAACGACTTCTTCAGCTTTAAAAATTATCCCAATAAATGGTGTCACAACTATCGACATTTCAACGATCTCAGATGATTCTATAGTTATGACTGTTCCTGCAGTTATAAATGCGACTATTACAACACCATCGATAGCAGTTTCAAAAGCACCCACAGTTGCAACTATTCTGAATTATTCCATAACTGATAATCCAATAACTGAGAATGCAATTCTGAGTGATCCTGCAACTACAATTACATTCGCAGCAAATACTGAAAGTGAAATTACTTCTACAAATGTAAATATAATTCCAGAGACTACTACAATTATGATTGATCCTATATCTACAGTAGTAAATACTGAAGTCCTAACTACATTCATACCAGTGATTACTAATGTGGAGAAAATTGCAAACGATTCTACAGATAATAATATTGACACTACTTCCTCAATTACAAACTATTCTACAATCGCAATTCCAACAATTACGGATGATGTTGTAACTGATTCTACAGCCTTGATTACAGCTGCGAGTGCTACAATTGAAACGTCTTCTATGACTAGAAATTTTTCCACATTTGCTACAGTTAAGAATACTACAATAATTCCCGTTACTACTTCATCATTAACAACAGACATGTCTTCAATTGATATGAACACGCAACATATACACGCAACTACACTCATGACAACGAATAATCTCGCAGATATAAATACTGTAACAACAAATGTAATGACTACGAGTACGCCTCTTAATATAACTATTCCAACGACTACTAATCTTAATGTAATTACATCGTTTGTAAATGAAAACGTTTCTTCTACTTTTGCAACTAGCGAGATCTCGCCAATTACGATTTGGTCCACAGATAGTTCTGTGACTTCACCCAAAGATTTTATCACAAATACAGTTGTAACTTCAACGAATTCAACTGCTCCTACAATTTTAACGACCGAATCTTTTACAATACATCTCGCAAATTCAAGTAATCTTAATATTAACAATTCCGAGATATTAACCGTCACAACAATTGCAGAAACTACTGAAACTACTGAAATTCCCACAACGTTCGAAATCCCTTCAACATTTACCCCAACAAAAATTGCATTTCCGAATTCTAGAAATTTCGAAGCATTATCTGTTGTAACAGCTACATTGTCAACCCAAGGGGATGAAAGTTCCTCGACTCCGGTGATCACTCAAATTCCCTCAACCCCCCTTTCGATCGCAACATTAATTACTAATAAAGCTACTGTAGCTGTAGAAAAATCTATGGCTAAGACGATCTTCGCAACTACTGGCGAATCGATTGCGATAAACTCCACTGTTCAAACAATTGTAGATACGTATAAACCAGATCTTGTACGAACAATAAGTGATGAGTCTTTATCGTTAGAACAGAAAATAGATTTTAAAGAAGCTACATCAATGAAAGCACAAAATCGAACTGAAGATCAAACAATGACGACCATTAGCAAATCGAGTTCTGCCCGAACAATGAGAAACAAGATAACAGCTCCAAAAATAAAAGTGTCTGAAGAAGCTGTTTTAAACATTACAGAAAATCAAAAACAAAATCAAACTATTTTAGATTTTAACACAAAGAATTATCAATTTAATCGGAAAACCGCTAAACGACGCGTTCTAAATCGAACGAACAATTGGCTTGGAAGTCCAACACTACAAAGAACTACTAATCTAAACACTACTAATCAGTATCTTCAACGTCAGATAATATCGAACCGTGGACGATCACAGATATCTACTTCTCATATTTTGTCTTCAAAAGCAATTGAAGAGAATCATGGAAGAAGAATCATACAGAAAAGAATAAGAGTTAATACTGAAGCGTTTAATAATACTATTATGTCCAATCAGGATACTGTTGATGTTCAAAATATTACTGATCATGCGTATAAACAAGATGAAAATACGAGAAGAAGGGAAGTTGTATTAAAGGAAAGTGTCAAGGAAGAAACGAATACTATTTTACCCACAAAAGAAACGATAGTATTTCTTCAAACATCTACCATTAGTGAGAATGAAACACTTCAAACCCATCATAAAAATGAAAATATCAAAGAAAAACAAGAAGTTATACTAAAACAATCTGAAGAAACTTTGTCAACAACGAACAAAATCAATGTTAATTCTAGTTCTGCTAATGAGAGTCTTTTAGATAACACTCAAAATAATATTTTTGTAGGTAAGGATCCTTCTAAACTTGAAAATTCGAGAAAAATAATAAAAATTGTATTAAAAAATATCAAACCTAAATCTGATGAAAAAAATCTACTCGAAGGAGAGAGTGTAGATTTTGATTCTATCAGTACAAATTTGCAAGACAATTTTACGAAAAGTTCTCACACAGATAAGAGTCTTTCCGACGTAAGAATCACAAGAAGGATGAGAGTTGTATTGAAGAATGTTAGATCTAAAACTGAGAAGAATCGCACGATTGAAGGAACAAATATGAATTTTGATTTTACCAATAAAAATTTTCAAAATGAATCTTTAAATAATGGTAATATAAGTCAGAATTTTTCTAATAAGGAAAAAACAAGAAGAAAAATAAGAGTTGTATTCAAGAGAATTAAATCTAAATCTGAGGAAGAGAAGAAAAATACTGAAAAAACAAATACAGAAGATGATCTTATCAATAAAAGTTTTTACAGTGCTAAAAATTTTCCTGTAGAATACAGGACTAAAAGAAGAATGAAAGTTATATTAAAGAGCGTCAAACCTAAAATTGAAGAAAAGAATGCAACAATTAAAGAAATAACTGTAGATCCTGACTCTACCACTGAAAGTCTTCCAGACATTTTTTCAAATAATTTTCGCAGTGCTACAAATCCTCCTATTAAATATAGGACTAGAAGAAGGAGAGTTGGATTAAAGAGCGTTAAACTTAAGTCTGATCCGGAAAAAAATTCAACAGTTGAAGGAATAACTGTAGATTCTCATTTTTCCAATGGAAGTTTTAGAAACACCTTTCCAAATAATTTTCGCACAAGTAAAAACTTTCCCATTGAACATGGAACTAGAAGAAGAATGAGAGTTACATTGAAAAGCATTAAGCCTAAGGAAAGAAACTCAACAATTAAAGAAACGAGTATAGATTCTGATTTTAATTTTACCAATAAA